ACCGACATGTATGGGAGTGTCGATTCTAAACAACTCAACGGAGGTGACTCAGGTGGACGAAGATCGATTCTTACATATTGTAAATTTGTTTGTTAATGCCGTCATTGAATGAAAATTTTCTTGGATAAAGTAATTTTTATTTTCTAAAAAGAATGCTGTGTAAAATATTACCACAAGGATTTAAAAGAAAAAAGAAAACGATGACTCTTTTTATAAACTGTGGCTTGTCATTGGTTTCTTTTCTTTTGCTTTTTGTTTGATATATTATTTTAAATATAAATTATGCGCAAATAGCATAATTATACGCCGATTGGAACACTGCTGTAGTACCAATGTATGGTCGGCAATTTCAATATTGGCGCCAATCACTTTGATGTGTACGCAAAAACTGACAGTCCACGGAAAACTTCCAACGTTGGTTAAAGTCATAAAAACGTTGGCGCCAACATTAGCTCCAACAGCCATAGTACCACAGTTTTGTCGGTACACACACATTGGACGAACGCTGTTGGGACCAACGTTGGCCACCATGTGTGTAGCCGGCGTTACATATTAGCGGTTACGTGAACTAACTCAGTTACTATTGAGGACCCATAGAGATATCTTCTCTTGGGTTGGCAACCCCTTGGGAGTCTTGCGTTGCTGTGATGTAAATCTGTTTAAAACTACATCATTTAAATTTTACAACAAATTTGTATTAATTAACAGTTAACATTATTTACTCTCATATTTAGTGGTTTCCCTCTTTTATTCCTGGCAACTGCACTGATGATCGACTTATTAGTCCCAAACGTTCTGTGATGTAACCCGAAAGGGCAATTTTAGAATAAATATACCTTTTATAAAGGATTTTTTGTATATAAGTTTTTATAATAGGCACTTTTATTTTACAAAATTTAAACAAACAACTGAAAAAACATGTAGAGTATATACCGAAATAATACAGTTATAGTCCAGGCTGTGGGGAAAAAGTACTCTCTAATCCAGGAATTTATGTAATGTGGCCTAGGTATAAAGGGCAACCTCAATCTCCCAGTTCATTCAACAAAAAATTTTTGGTTATTTATTTATGAGCGTCTATACGTGCAAAATATGTATTTTTTGTGTTTTATTCATTTTTTCCTTAAAAGTGTTGTAATGGGTAATTTCTGTATATATTATGAAAGTACTCTAAAAGACCTTCAATTTGAGCCGGTATACGTTCAATTTAATTTATTTGTTATTGCAAAAATAACGAATGAAGGTCAAAATTAAAAAAAATTAAATTTTAATTTTTTATTTTAAATTTTATTTTTTATAAAATAAAATTTTTTTTTTATAAAATTAATTTTAAATTTGTAAATTTTAATAATCCACTGGAAAATAATGAAAAAAATTTTCAACCCGTTAAAAATAATTATTTTTGAAGTTGTTATAAACATTTAGAGCTACAGCGCCCCCTATGTACCCTACAAATTTCTTGTTTGTAGATTATTGTAGCTGGCTTCGAGACGAAGATTTTTAAAAAAGAGTTTTCTACCACCAATAGGAGCCAGTTAGCATATTTTTTTTTTTAATCACTGAGGCTTTATTAATAACAATTAAGAAACGAATCTGGCGTCATTTACTACTTAAAAGCTATATTTTCAAGTACTTGTATTCTCCTTAAATTAAAATCATTATTTATTGTTAAAAATGACGAATAAAGTTTACCTTGCCGGGTATACCTGCTCAAATTGAAGGTCTTTTAGAGTACTTTTATAATTGATACAGAAATTACCTATTACAACACTTACTTAGGCAAAAAATGGAAAAACTCAAAAATACGTATTTTGCACCTATAAACGCTCATAAATAAACAATAACCAAAAATTTTTTGTTGAATGAACTGGGATTCCATAAATTCCTGGATTACAGTGTAAAATCACCCTTTTTTCCCCCACAGCCTGGGCTATTACCTATTCGAAACAAATATTGTAAATAATAATATAGGCTAATAATTATTACTCCGTGGCCATTGCGAAAACACTATAGTCACTTATAGGAAACTGCCACTGGATATTTTAGTACATTAACAAAATGTGAACAACCCATTTGCTTGTTGTTTTTTATACATATTGCAAGTAAGATTTTATGAAATAAAATGAGATCTGATTTTCCGCTTCCACATAGGTTAAATATAGCACAATAAAGATGTTTGTTTATTAGTAATCCGATTTTAGAATAGTTGTTTTGGATATTCAAGGATATCCTAATTTAATTACTGGTATAACTAACAAAACTATGTAATATATTTATTTTTAACAATACCTTCTCTGACTTAAAAGTTCTAAACATAGCAAGTAATAGAATAAATTAGTTTTACAAGTTTTATATTTGTTTGTATTGCTCACAATATAAGCATTATTAGCTTGTTTATGGTACTGAAAAATATGTGTTTAACCTAAATATCAATGTTTAAAAAAGATTTTCTAGTGTCTGCCAATACAACACGCAAATAAAGATATAAATAGCTAGATATAAAATGTGTCAATAAGTGTTATTCAATATTGATCTTTGTTTTATGGACATTTTATTCTGTAATTTAACGTAATGAAAATACCTGTATCGGAGATAACGGCAGCCAGCGGTTAGAATGGGTGATAACCGTAGGAAGAAATGTAGCCTGGCATGCGCAATATGATAGTCAACAAATTTTCCAACCAGATAAAATTATTAATCATAAGATAAAGGGCTAAATAAAAACCTAATTAATGGCATATCCTCAAATGGAATTATTATTTGCTTTTGTTTGCAACATTATCTGTGTATTATCTCTTGTATTGCATTTTGTCATTTCTCTAGATCTTTTGTTCATTCCTATTTGTTCGATATTTCTTTCTTAATTAACTTCTGGACAAAATTAATATTCCACGTGTAGTAAATGACAAAAGTCGCCAAGTATTAAGGGAATTAACTAACTTTTGACATGATAATATGCAGTGACCTAACCATAGTATCTGAGGCCTATGGAAAATTTGTTGGATGGGGCACCAAGAAAAACATTCCAGGCGCCATCTAGTGTCCTTTATAGAAAAGCCACAGAGAATGACATAATACTAGGTTTGCTTCTGCATAATTCAGATTGCACTAGTCATTGACTGGCTGAAATGTTTTGAACTAAACAACAATATACAAGGGGATATGTTCTTTATTTCTTCTATACCAATAAGTTATTCGCTCCGTGCGTGACCATGGTAGGGATACATTGAAACGATGCCAGCGTGCGTAGCGGCGAAATATGACAAAATTGAAATATTGGACAAAATATTTTTACGCATAAATTTTATCAAAAATGTGTGCAAATACATGTTGCGTATTTAATTGTGCTAATAATAGCAAAAACAGTGAGTGTAGTTTTTATAGGTTCCCAAAGATTACTTATAAATTAGAGAAAAGAAAAAGATGAATTCATGCTATTAATATGAAAAAGTAAATATCACATAATTTCATTTTTATGCAATTGAAATAGGAAAAATTTAAATAATTTACCTTGAATGATATTTCATAAGGCTTTAAGCTAACTGCAGATGACTTTAGCTTTTATATCATAACTTTTACTATTATTGTTTTTAATTATATGCTCTTTTGCGTGAAAAATTTGATTTGCTAGTACTAGATTTTTCCCTTTCTTTTCCGTTTGGAGTTGAAAAGATATATTATGATGAATTTTGAGAAACCCAGTTTGTAATACTACATTTATTTTGTACATAAACTGAAAAAATATAGTTAAAAAATTAATTTATTAATAATTGTCAATTTCGCATGTATTTAACAATGTCAAACATATGTCATATGTTTAACCTGAAAATTGGGACTCCAAAATTGTCAGATGAAGGCGGTAGGTGTCGCGTCAGTCACGCACGGAGCGAATATTTGACGAGCTAATATTAGCGAAATACGTATAATAGAATGACAGGTTGGCGAGTTGTGAATACTCCTATTCGTATATTATTTACACTTTATTGTATGCTTTGTTTAAAGTAGAAAGGTGCAAATTATTTCTACATGATGGGCGTTCTTAGATATTTTATGAAAAATATCAGACTCCATTTAGTGCCCATTATAGGAAATGGACAGATAATGTCATGCTAGTAGGTTTGCTTCTGCATAATCCAAAAATCATCACATTGTAATTTAAATTTAATTGTAACCCATCAGTAATATTGTGTAATCCTAGTTAAATATCTCATTTTCGAAAGCAAAGGTATCGCATATTTACGAGTATTATAAAATAAAGGGAAATGTTGAGATATTTATTCATAAAACTCTTTTCTCCGAGCTTTCTGTTACGCAAAAGTATCAATAACATCATCAAAGTTTAAAGATTGGGTTTTTATTAATGTTAACCCTTTAGGTGGCAAGAGACTGGCAATTATATTTTTTAAGATATTTTGTCTTGAATTGTGAAATAAGATTACAAGGAATATAAAACAACCGTTGTTTACTCAATTAATTACAAAAAAAAAACAAATTTTTTGAGGTGGGAAATATTTATCCCAATAAATTAGAATGCTTTTCGCTTTCACCTAAATTTCAGTGGGATAATAATTTCCCGCTAATGAAAAATTTTAAAGTTATACATACAAGATATGTTATAAATACTTTTTTACTTGGCTATTGTATGTCACTTTATACTTTAAGATGTATGAAACAGGATGCTGTTTGACACTCGCCTATAAGAGGAGAATATTATTTTATTATAATAAAATACTATGACTTTCAATTTTGTTTGCTTCTACACTAGGCTAACAATGTTTCAATACTTTCTCGTATGTTTATTTTCTAAATTAAAATAACGCATTAGATATAGTAAATCATAAACCGTTGATGCAATTAACAGAAGAGATATTCACATATTAAATAACCTTGACTATGAATCTTTTTGGATTAAAGTAACAATAATAATTTCGTAAAAACCATTTTTTAAATATTTGTCTCTTGTAATAATCATATATTAAACAGTTTATTTTTTTCTTTAGCTCCTTCTCAGATCAGCAATGATATCATCATTACACCGCAACATGTCAAAGAATATTACGCTACAAATGCGTATTCCGCTCCCGATAATGTTGACATCAATCGACAGCCAATCACTGTTGGGTAAGTTTTCTTTTGGTGATTTTACTTAAAACTTTAAGCTGGCAGCTTTAAATAAACATTTGAAAAACGAAAAAAGGTTATGATAAGCTGGATGATTTTTTTGAAAAACTGTTACTAGAAATGCTGTAATGCGGTTCAGATCTTTTTTAAGCATTATTAAGAGCTATTTAAATTTAAACTTATAAAAAAATCTTTAAAAAAAGTACTATTTGTTTGGTAATCTTTATTTAGTAATCAATTTTCAGGGAAGTTTATAAAAAGAGGATTTTAAAGTGCATGTAGCACAAGCAATTTAGCTAATAAACAAAATATTGCAAAAAATATTTTAGAACAATAAGTCGACTTGAGATATGTACTTTTAAATCTAGAAAACAAATTAGTTTCTTAACGATACGTTTAAAATTTTACGAAGTGATCAAAGAATAAGTATCACCGAATTATAATAATCTTGCTACTTGTGAGATCTTATTTGTGATACATATCCATAGACTGACTTGTTTCACTCGCAATTATAACTCAAAATTGCATATCTAATTGATATTTTATAATGTGTCGTTTGAAACATTTCTGGTGCTACTGTGGCTTAATCCAAGTAAACCACTCAAGTGAGTGTAGTATTTATCATACTTATCCATTGGTTGACTTGTTTCACCCACAATTCCATCTCAAAATCACATACCCAATTGATATTTTATACTGTGGCTCAATCCAAGTAAACCACTGAAATGAGAGTAACTAGTTCGTTATATTAACGAGCTGCACAGCTCGTGCCATCACATTGGAGCGTGGGTTTCCTTTCCTTTGCGAAAGAGGTGTAGCGATAACATAAATGACATACGCATGTAGTGGTCAGATGTCTGAAGATAAAACAACCAATTTGCCTAATATTGAGAAGAAAGAAGAATAAACTCAAAAACTTCTGATATCCTGCATCAACGGTAAAACCAACAGGCAATTAAAACTTTAACAATCATCAGAGCTGGGTAGTATCCGGATACTTCTGTATCCGGATACAGTATCCGGATACTTTTTGTGTATCCGAAGGCTGTATCCGGATAATTTTTAAATTTTGTATCCGGTATCCGTATCCGTGACCAAATTTGAAAGTATCCGGTATCCGGATACTTTTTTTGATGTCCGGATGCTTTTAAATTTTTAATGTTCGACGATAATGGAACTACTTTACGCACCACACTGCCCTATCTTCAATCCAGGTGTACATAGTATGATCGTTGAGTGAGAAGTATGATAAATCCCATTTTCCATACTCGTGATCGTGATCGTTATAATATATTATTATAGCCAATAGAGCTTTGTTTTTACCTAATCAGTTAAAAATCTTCAAGAGCCCTGTATAATTAGAAGAATTTGAAGAACCCTGTATAATTAGAATAAAGTATTTTTTCGGATTAGAATAAAGTCATTCTTAATATTTATAATTTTGGTTTAGTGTGTCCCTATTTCCCCTAAAGTTTAAAAGTTAAAAACTCAGCTGATTCGACGCTGGCGAAATTCAATATCGAAAGCTCAAGACAGTGACACGTTTCGTTTTTACAGGAAAAATCCTGCAAATTCTTGTCTACCGAGTACAGACACGGTGATATGATAGAAAAAGTTTTTCATTATTTCAGTAGTCCATTGCTCATTTGTGTAAAAGGTGTAGTGCGTTTATATGCGTATAGTTTTTTCTATTCGGAATAACAGAATTTTCTAAAGGTAAGTTGCATTTAATTTTCGATTTAATTAGTAGATATCTAAAGTTTACTGGCGTTTTATTATTAATAGTAGTCTAATATTAGTAGATTTCTAGAAATAAAAAAAGAAAAAATGCATTAGTTATTAAATAAATAGGTATCTATCTAATATCTATCTGATGGTAAGTAAAAAAAGTTATAATTATTTGTTAGAAGACTACGTGATCACGCAGCGTTACTACGAAACCGGAGTAAATAATTCTTATTTAGCAAATGATTATGATTACTTATTGAGATACAGGGAGTCAAAATTGCAAATTTAAATTTTTTCTAGTAGCATAGGCATAGACATACTTGACGATGTTTTGTTAAGTTTTTAAATGACAGCGTGGTGTTTGAATTTAAAGAATGCATTAGTTATTAAATATATATCGGATAGTAAGTAAAAAAGTTATAATTATTTGTTAAAAAAGACTACGCGATCATTATTATTGAGCAAATGATTATGATTACTTATTGAGATACAGGGTGTCAAAATTGCAAATTTTTGCAAATTTAATTTTTTTTCTATTAGCATAGGCATCATAGACATATACATGAAGATGTTTTGTAAAGTTTTTAAATGACAGCGTGGTGTTTGAATTTGAAGAAAACAAAAAACTAAATTACATTAAAACACACAGAATTTCACAATTTTTTAGTCCCGTCTAACGTCTATTTCATACAACTAAATAACTACAACAATAATGTTTATGCCGTATTTTGTTTTTTTATCATTTAATAACAAAATTTCGATGGAGTTACGTTTAAAATTTGTATACCATGTCCTTTCAGACCATTCATTTTAATTCGTGTGCCATGACAAATTGTGATATTCTTAAAATATTTTCAAACTAGCTTTGTCGAATTTCGATAGGAGAGCTCATTTCGTTTAAAAAATGATAGTATGAGGGGGTAAGTTAGACAAGCTTTTTTTAATTCCAGATAGAGCAACATGAATTCAATTGATCCTGCAGTTGCATCTACCAGTTCCAATCCAGAACAAAGTGATGACACTCCAGAAGATCCATTTGCTACAAGTTCAGATGATCCCGATTATCACCTAGACCTAGAAGAAGAATTATCAGATTCCGATTCTGCCCAAAGTATACCTCGAAAATCTCAGACAAATTCTCTTATGAATTTCTTCAAACTAAAAGGAAAAAATGAACCAAACCAAGTTTGTATGATATCCGAACCTCTAACAAGACTTGTTAAAAACATGGGAGAAAAATCTGATGATCCACAAAGTTCGCAATTTGCTTGTAGTTCCTCCATACTAGATGGAAAATACTTTAAAATAAAAGAAAACGACGGCGAAAACATTACAGCTGATTGTCAACTCTGCCTTCCACAGAAGAAAACCATAAAAGGGATAAAAGGTTCTTCTTCAAATTTTTTTAAACACTTAAAAAGGATTCATCCTAATAAAATTGACGAGTATAATAAGTATAAAATTTCAAAGAAAGATTTGACCAGAAAAAGACTTAATGCAACTCAAGATTTCGAAAGTCGAGAACCCAAACAAGCTAAGCTTATTCAACCAAACATTTTTGGAATGGCCAAAGAGGGAAGCAAATCAGTTTTAAGCCAATCTCTGTTTGAAAAAAGAATAATAAATTTTGTTGTGAGCACAATGAGTGCAATATCTATAATAGAACACCAAAGTTTTAAGGATATCTTCCAAGGATTAAATTTGAAAATACCAACAAGAAAGACAGTAATGAAACGAATTATAGATTCGCACGATGAAAATATGCAAATTATTAAAGATAAAATTAGGGGTGTTAATTACGTATGCACTACAGCTGACATATGGTCAAATAAAAAAAGAAGCTTCTTAGGAGTTACAGTTCACTGGTTAGATGAGGACTTTATCCGCAAATCAGCTGCACTTGCCTGTAGAAGGTGAATAAATTATAATTGTATATTTTTCGATATTTCTTTGGTTAAAACGCTACGATCTACCTAATCTCAAATATTAAGTATTTAATCATTCTACGGGGTAGCCAAAATCCAAAAAGGAATGATTTTATGAAAAAAGATGAAACACTTTAATTTATACAATTATTAAACTTACAACTATTTTTAAATATACAGTATGTTCATGTTGTAAAGAATTATAGAAATAAGGCAAAGCGAAGATACATTTTTCAATCGGAAAACTTTATACATTTGTAAAGTTTCGTCAATGATCTGATTTCCGATTTCAGCAATATATTTATTTGTTAGATTTAGGACCTAGCACCTTTTTGCATGGAAGCAATAAATTAAAAATAAAGAAAATCGTTGCTTAAGTTCCTATCTTACCTTTTGAAGTACTATTCAATGCACTAATAATAGTTTATTGTCCGAAATTATTGATTTTTATCACCCTTTTTTATTTATCGCATTGACTAGTACTTACTTAAAAAGATATTTACAAGACAGCCGATTTTCTGTTTTCAACAATTATCATGTGAAAACAGGTACACAGCTAAATTGTGATTTTCAAATATCTATACCTCCTAAACCCAAATATTTAAACAAAATGCCGAAATCAGATAATGCAGGAGAATTCAAAATTGTAAAAATATATAGGATGGTTCAATTGAAAATATGTATATTGCTTATCCACCGTTTCTGTGCAACACTCTATATTTTTAAATATTTTTAAAGGGTCCTACCCTATTTTCTTTCTTTAAAATTTTTCTTTGTAACGAAAATACATCTTACAGCCTTTATTTTTCGGCCATCCCACTATACAAATTCATAGTCTTGTACATTCTACATGGACGATGTACAAACAAAAATTTAAGAACCATTGTTTATTTTAGGTTTAAAGGTGTTCACTCCTACAGAAGCATAGCTGAGATGCTAGAAGATATAAATTTAAAATTTGGTTTAACAGAAAATAAAATTGTGGGGACAGTAACAGACAACGGTAGCAATTTCGTTAAAGCTTTTAAAGTATTCGGCGAGAAAAATGAAGAGGACGACGATGAGGAAATTGACGAAGAAGAAAATGAATTGCAAATTTTACATTTAGAGGTTGATGAAGGCAAAGAGTTAGAAGACCAGGATATACAGCTACCCAAGCATATGCGATGTGCCACACATACTTTAAATTTAATAGCCACAACAGATTATAAAAATACTGTTATAAACATTCCAACTATCCGCATAAGAGAAAAGAATGCATTTAGTAAATGTGCTCAGTTATGGAAAAAATCGAATAAACCAAAAAGCAATGAAGTTATAATTAAAATTTTAGGACATACTCTAAGTTCTCCAGGGGCCACTAGATGGAACTCCACTTTTGATGCAGTTTCACAGATTCTTCAAGCAAAAGAAAAACTTCCAATTTTGCTACAAAATCTAACATTAGAACCTTTTAAGGAAACTGAACTATTATACCTAGAGGAATACTGTTTAGTTATGAAACCTTTGGCTTTAACGTTAGATTTGTTACAAGGTGAAGAGAATGTATCTTTTGGATATTTGTTACCCAGCTTAATTTCATTAATTAATAAATATGAGAAACTTCTTGCCCAAACAAAATTGAAATATGGAGGAGAACATCTAGCAAAAATGTGCATTAAAAGCTTAAATACTCGTTTTGCTAACATTTTAAATTTGGAATGGGAAGATCCAATTATAGCTGCAGTTCTTCTTCCTAAATTTAAGCTAAAGTGGTACAATGTAGTACATAATCCCAAAAAAACTTTAGAAGATATCAAAAAATGCATTATAACTGTTGCAAAAAAACAAATGGAGTTGGAAAGTTGCAATGAATCAGACGAAAGTGGAGATCAAAATTTAGATGACTTTTTTGATTTTAGCGATTTCCGAGACCAGCAAGTGGACAATAGCTGTACTATTACATATAATGAACAGGAACAGGGTTCCAGCGTAAATAATAAAACTTCAAAAATACAGTTAGAATTGTTACGATATTTGGAGGACAAAAGAACCAATTTACAAATCCTAAATGAATACCCAACCTTAAAAAGGGTGTCAACAAAATATAACACATGCTTACCTTCGTCAGCACCAGTTGAAAGACTTTTCTCTTTTGCAACTATGATTGATACACCTAAAAGAAAAGCTTTAAGCGATGAACACTTTGAGGTATTGGTACTTACAAAGGCAAATTCAAAGGCACTTCTGTAAATATATGCGAAAAAATCTTCAGCAATTTCTTTATTAATACGTTTTTATTTTTATTTAATTTTTCTTTACATATTATAGTATGTTCTGGTTTGATTAATCATGTTCTTGTTTTATTATTCATAAGTAATAAACAATTTCTTGAGTGTTTTTTGATTTCTGTTTCCAGTATTTTATGCACGTTCTTTTTATTATTATATACAATAAAAATACATGCTCATCACATAATTCTATCACTAGCAATTTAGGTCACTTTTAAAAGTATCCTTAAAAGTATCCTAAGAAGTATCCGAAAAAAGTATCCGGATACTTGTATCCGAATACATTTTGAAGTGAAAGTATTCGTACTTTTTTAAAAAGTATCCGGATACATTTTGAGTATCCGTATCCGGTATCCGGATACTTTTTTTCTGTATCCGACCCAGCTCTGACAATCATAAATAAAAAATAAAAAAAAATGCCCGAAGGACCAAGTTTTACCTGTCCTGACATAGCCTAAATATTGTAACACGTTTCGCTGTAAATTCCTTAATACAGGGTTTATTCTAAAGGAACAATACAACTATTATCGAACCATCAGTGTTATTCACGCATTGAAATATTTTTTAAGAATAGTGCACTCGAGTGGCTTGGTTTTAGAAACAATCTTGGATTCAAAGAGGCAATATTCAGTTTGTAAGTTAGAGTTCAAAAAAGGGTTTTATCGACTTTAAGAAGAAGTTGATTGGACAAAAAATTATGGTTTTCTTGCAACAGATGGGATTTGATGACCAAGACCTCTGCATCATCAAACATTTGTAATGACATCAACCTGCCAATATCCGAATTGATCAAAGCATAACGCAAGTAGTGGATATATCACGGGAGTGGGATATTTTGTCGCCTGTACTTTAAAATCGATTCAGAATGTATCTTTAAAGGAGTCTTAGATGAAATAAAAGGAGGCATTAAGATCAATGGAATTAATAAATCCAAGATCTAAAGTATAACCGTGTACCCTCCATAATAAAGGAAAAAATCATCGGAAGAAAAACATAATGGCTCGAAAATCTCTGAGGGTGATATGACATCCGCTGATCTGTTTCGAGCCGCAAACAAAATTATGAGTGATGATTACAGAGTGCTCAAGCATTTAACGTTCTTTTTCTTGGCTGTGTATATATTTGCAGGTAAGCCTCGATCTTCCTTAGCTTATTTCTCAATTCGGTCCTGTTGTTATAATAGTCTTGTGGATTTTCCAACATTATTACCTCCATCTCAAAGTTGGTCTTGTTTCTAGACTTTTCAAGATTTCGTTAATAGAATAAGACCTGCAGAGAATCCTCTACTTGCTCTATCTAGATGTCCCGCTCATTTCAGGCGTTATTTATAGTCCAAGTAATAAAGTATCATGTTTCTAGTTTTGATATTTGGTCTTAATGCCATGAACTTAATTTTACTTAAATTTATCATCAAGCCCATATTCCCCGCTGTGTTATAAAGTATTACAAATTTTTCCTTGGATTTATAGTCCATGTCGTGCATTCGACTTTGTCTGAGCTGCGCAGTATTAAGAAACTGGCTCTACAGCACATCCTTCTATGGCCGGCTTTCGTTATGTATAACAGACTATAAAATTTATTAACTTAATACGAATAGAGACTCAAAATGCAAAGTAAACTTATACTTTTCCTCTGATTATAAACTTTTCCTATAAAGCGATCAATATGTTATATATTGTAATAAGTTATGTTGGAACTTTGTTGTGCTGAAGAAGAAAGATCTTCAAGATACAAAATCCTGACCTAGTTCTGAAATAAGTAAAAGTGTGGGTATTACGATAAAACCAGCCGCTTACCATAATCTTTGTTTATCAGTTTGTTAATTGTTTAATGCTTTTTTATGTTGGTGTACGATAACAAATCGGTAAAGAGGCCTTTGATATTATTTGTTATATGAGGCAAAAACAAAATTATATGTCACAATTTGAAAAAAAGTACTTTTAAGACGCATTACAGTTATATTCATAAAAAATGTTAATATTACCTGCATACATGAAACATATGAGTAGTATTAATTAGTTTATCATCCATAAAAAGTTTAAAAATAGATAAATGATGTTTATTGGAATTTTATCTCGAATATTTTTACTTTTCTCCACAATTTTGTAATGCGTCCCTCTGCTTAATGTTATATGTTAAACATACCTTAAATTCATATGAAGGGTACAAATAATTACTTTAAACACTATGATACAAACGCAGCCACTTGTAGCCTAGTTCTTGAATACCAGAAAATAAAAATTCTCTTTCCACAGTATTTTAAAATTACACATTACATCTGCTTCACGTGAATAATATTACTTTTATTTGTAGATTGTAGATAAAAGGGTCGTTGGTGTCCTTTAGATAACATTTTGCCTCTGCTGCCTAGCCTCTTTTCTCTCTCATCGCTGTCGCTTATGCAAGTCCGCTGGACATTTTTTCTCATCCAATCTTGTCCCACAATTGAGAAAATATTTCAGGCCAAAAGCAAGCAAAAACGTTATTACATGCTTCCGCTTGCTACGACAAACTACCTTAAAAGCTTGATAATACTGGTTTCACAGGTCTTCTCATTAGGTCCTCTAAATGGACAAAGTGGACAAAACAAAAAGCAGATTCCAAATGTTGCTCTCTGAAAATTCAGAGGAGATGATTAGATATGTATATTGTCTGCAGCTGCCAAGTAAATGTTCGCTAACGTCATAAATACCTGAACTTCTTCTTCTTCTTCTGGTTCCTATCCGTTTCGGATGTTGGAAATCATATTGGCAATCATAACCTTGCTCGCTGCGGCTCGAAACAGCTCCGTTGAGGTTTTCTTAAACCATGTTCTTAAATTCCGCAGCCATGATATTCTCCTTCTACCGGGTCCTCGCTTACCTTTGACTTTACCGTGCAATATAGACTGTAGCAAGGAGTAACGGTGCTCATTTCTCATAACGTGTCCCAGATATTGCAATTTTATGCGTTTGATTTTAAACACAATCTCTGGTTCCTTCTTCATTTTTCTTAGAACTTCCTTGTTCGTGATCCTTGCTGTCCATGATATTCTCAGCATTCTTCTATAAAGCCGCATCTCAAATGCTTCAAGTTTTTTAATAGTGGTGTCTATAAGCGTCCATGCCTCCGCCCCGTACAACAACACAGAGAAAACATAGCATCTCAAATGTCTCATTTTTGTATCAAGGGATATGTTGTGACTTTTGAAGATGGCGCTCATTTGGTTAAAGACCGTTCTTGCCTTTCCCATGCGACACTTTATTTCCTGTAAATTGCTCCACTGTTCGTTAATAATAGTTCCCAGGTAACAATACTGTTTTACTCGCTCTATCTGCGTCCCACTAATGTATAGATGAGCTCCGTTTATATTCTCCTTGCTGATAATCATTTGTTTCGTTTTGTGGGTATTAATGTTTAGTCCGTACTGTTGACTGTACTCATTTATTCTGTCCATTAGCCTCTGAAGTCCCTCTAAACTATCTGCTATCACCATGGTGTCGTCGGCATATCTAACATTGTTTACTCTTTCACCATTTAGAAGTATGCCTTCGTCTATTCCGTAAAGAGCCTCGTTAAAAATTTTCTCTGAGTACATATTAAATATCAACGGAGATAGGATACATCCCTGTCTAACTCCACGTAGTATTTTTATGTGATCTGTTTCTTCTCCGTTAATTTTCATGTATGCGGTCTGATTCCAGTAGAGTTCTGAAATTATTCTGAGGTCTTTGTCATCCAGGTCTGCCTCTTTTAAAATGTTTATCATCTTTTGATGTTGAACTCTGTCAAATGCCTTTTCATAGTCGATCAAGCACGCGTATACGTCGCAGTTAACGTCCCTGCATCTTTGAATCAGTACCTGTACTCCGAAAAGTGCCTCTCTGGTACCCACTGCGTTAATGAAGCCGAACTGTCTGTACGATATTTGTTCCTCGCACTTCTTATAAATTCTTCCATGGATGACTCTAAGAAACAGTTTCAACATGTGGCTCATTAGGCTGATCGTTCGATATTCTTCGCACTTTTTAGCCCCCTGTTTTTTAGGTATCGCTATGAATTCTGATTCTAGCCATTTATCAGGGATGATTCCTGTATTGTATATTTTATTGAAGATAGCCGTGATCCAAATTATTCCTTCTTCCTCCAAGAGTTTTAAAAATTCAGCTTCGATATTATCAGGCCCTAGAGCTTTCCTGCTTTTCATCCGTTTTATTGCTTCTTCTACCTCGGATTTAAGTATGTCCGAGCCCGTCATCCTCTCTGAAAATAAATGCGTATAATCCGCCTATAATCCACCTGAACTTACTTTTACTTTTTCGTGTCCAAGCGAGATCATTTTAGGTGTTCGACCCAGAATAGGTCGCAGTTTATTACATTGGTGTTGGTCTTCCATAGGTCGTCCAAGCTAGGGTACGAACATTGGTTGCACATTAGCAGGTGGTTTATGTCCTGTTGTTGGCCGCACGTACACTTAAGGTATAATTTTTATCAAACTGGTCCTATCTTGGTCTGTTGGTGTTTACAGCGGCCATGCCCAACGTCATTTGATTCAGTATTGTCCAAAGCAGTTAAAACCAGTGGGTGCGTTTGGTTTGGAAGTATACCAGGTTGTAGGTTCCACGTGAACGCCACTGAGAAAACATTTCCTGGATTTGAACCGCAAGCCGTCGTGTAAGTACTCTTGCGCACCGAACATCCATCACGTGTCTGTCGTCAAATTACTGTTTGAAGCGCTCGGAGTACTCTGTAGTTCGTCTTCGCAGGTCCATTCAATAGATTCTCGCACAATGATATAGTTTCTCTAATGGCTTTGTTTTCAGACACTTGTTGCTATTCGGTACGCTTTGTTTAGGGCCACGTCCACTATCTTAGCGTGTGTAGATCTATCCCAGAAAGGGCATGCTTAATCGCCTGTGGAAAAGTTCAGAGCCTTGGCTGTAATTAGGATATTTGCCTGAGCGCACCATTTAGAGTACCTGAAACATGTCTTTTACGATCTGATCAGGTAATAAACGTAGCTTCGAAATGAATAGTAGGGTTTCTTAGAAAATTGGGTCTTCTGGACTAAAACATAGAAGTACAAACGATCTTTGACAGTGTGAAAAGGTTTACGAAGCCAAATGATCCCTTTGAAATCATAAATCTACAATCTAAGTGATAAGCTTCATTAAGTTATTAAGCTTCATGTTAGCTGAAGCCTAAAATTCATTAAGTTCATAAGTATTTACGGTGAATAAAACAATTATTTTCAAACACAGTTAAAACATATCTTCATGGTATATCATAAAATATATCACATCTTTCAATGACTGAATAGCGGTGACCCAATATGCATACTGGCAAAAAATGTTTGATTGATTCGACTAGATTGTTGTTTTACTAAAGTAATTGTTTGTATATTCTTCATGTGATTATCCCTAATCCTTTACCGGAAACCTAAGTAGCTAGTGTATGTATTCAAGCTTAAGCAGTGGAGAGTGGGCGCGCCTAGAGCAAACTTTGAGTCGTTTGGGTGTCAAAAGCCGTGGATCTAGCCTGTGCAGAGAAAGGTACTTTTATAGTGGTACTTATTGTTTCGGTACCACGAATCTATTAGCACTGAATGATGCACAACAGATTAACCTGCGTGATTTATACATTATTTTACCTTTGAAACAGACCGTTACCCAAAAATTCTAATCAAAAACTTCTGCGAGAAAACTGCAATTAAAGCTGTGAGAAATATAAGGTATCTTTGATATTTCAAATAAATTGTGTATAAATGATAATTGGGTAAATTGGGTATATATTGGGTACTACTTTATATTAGATGAGCCAACATTTTTGTTGATTCAGATATTTTTTCTGTAACACTACAAGTGATTTCTTTTATAGACCCAACTTTTTCTAACATGGGACATGAAGAATAAAAAAATCGCTACTTTTGTAGTTTTCTTTATTTTGTCAAGCAAGTGCTGACAATTGTTTTCTGCCATGAAAAAAAATCCGCATAATATTAACTAGGCACGAATACATTTTGGAAACATTCTGACGAAAATGGTATGTGGTAGTGGAACTAAATAACTGGTCAAAAAATTAGGTTGCAGAATAAGCTAATTTATGCTTTTGCAGAGTTTTGAGCGAATCGGAAATAACAAGAATCTCTAGAGGAAACGAAAAGTAATAAAACTCCTAGAAAATACTGAATCATAGTGGGAATTCTTAAGAACGCTCCACATTATTTTTAATAAAAAATTTTTGGTTGAACAAGCCTTGATAAAAAAAAAAGAAATTAGACAGAGCTACATACTACATATATTCTGAATGTATAATGAGGAGATTACTAAACGAAAGGGATGGAGGAATCACTATTGGAGGCAGAAAAATCAGTAACCTACGGTACGAAGATGACACACTTATACTATCATTGAACGACTAAGCCGGATAAGCAAAGAATTCAGACTACCGATCAACACCGGAAAAACTAGAATAATTATCGTAGAGAGGGTAAATAATAACATATTGCACATAAGCCAAGTAGCGAATTTAGAAGTAGTAGAGAGATTTTTATATTTGGGCTCCATGGTTACCAACAATGGCTCCTCAGAAATCAATCGTAGACTAGCAGTGACCCGAACCGCAACAGCTAAATTAATTAAAATATTGAGAGACATGAATAACAAGGAAGACTAAGCTCAGGTTAGTCAATCAATGTAGATGTGGATCTACAGAAGAAGTCTACAAAAGTCCTGGACAGAACACAGAACCAACTTGTCAATTCTGGAAGAGCTTAATATAAAAGACAACTACTAAAAAAGGTGAACTAAGGGGATTATGGAACTATTGCTAGTAAAAGGATAGGCAGAAGGCCGAAGACCAAGAGGAAGATCTCCAATATGGTGGGCAGACCAATGGAAAACTGGTGGAAAAATCCCTACGTAAAGATGAATTTGGTAAATTGGATTATAAACAAAAAATATCTACAAAATTGTTGAAACAGAAGACAAATAAGTGAAGTAGAGAGCAAACTGACTGACGTAATATATGTCGGAAGAGGAATAGCAAAACTTAAATGACAGTTTGCAGGATACAACATCAGATATGAAGATAAGAGAATGAAACAGAGAAGAATGGACGAAGGTGTACCTATGTCTTATATTACGCGAATTAAACTGAGATAGATAGATGCTTGGACATATAGAGATGGACACAGAAATTAAAAGAAAGGGTCACTATGCAATTGCAGTTATACTATAGACCTAAGCAAGTGAGAACTAGACATTCCAAAGAGATATTATGGAAGAAATAGATAAAGATAGGTGACCGTAATACCGAATAGAAGAGAATAATTAACGAAGGTATCAAATAAGAACAGACAGTAAAATTATAATAGAGGAAATACATTAAAAAACAAACAAACCTCTGAAAAATCTCATGAAGGATTAGACGAGATTAGAATTAGAAAAGAACAAACTGTAGAGTTATTAAAAAATATTCTGAACAATTAAAATTAATTAATATCTGAAAAATTAATATTTTTAATAGAATAAAAATGTTAGTGGCTTCAATCAGAAACTTAACCTAATGTCAATTTAGTTGTGTAAGTATTAATATTAAGAATTTAAATAAAAGTATTTACATTGATTTATCTGAAATTTTTGGGAAACGGTTTTTATGTCTACCTAATTTTTATATTTTTTAATTATTTAGTTTGATGGTTTTCTGGTGTAACCCTCAAAATGCACCCTTGTATATTGTATAGTTAATAGTTGTAAATATGTAGATACGTGTATAAGTTTGTTTAGCACCTCATAGACCCCATTCCGAAATAAAATTCAGAACTGACTACACTAAAGACGAATAAGAGGCGAGGGGTAATAAAATATGAATATGATTATTTCCTGTTCATACTTTTCAAAGATAAGATAGATAAGATTTCAACTATTGTATAGGTTTATGAAGTTTTCATTAATTTATAAAGTTTTTCGTATATCCAATATACACATTTGGAAAATTTAAGACGGAACATAGGGATTTTTAATACAATTACTAAGATCCCCTGACCTGCAATTACCCAGTGTAAATTTGAATATAACATCGCGATGTCTAATAATTAATTCATTTGTTCGACTGGATTGCTGCTCCTTCGCGATTGCTAGTAGCGTATTAGGCAGGTGTACGTCGACACTGTTGCCTATCGTCCACTGATTTTCTGTGTTTTTATGCAGATAATAACAATGTTTTATTAATAACAATTTTTTTGTGTTCATTAGATATTATTTGAATTGGTTAGTGTATATTTTAATATATTTCTTATTTCAAATATTGTTGATAATTTAAAATTTAAAAGGATGTATATGATACATCAAAATCTACAGATTTTTGCCGAAGGTATTTACCGATTTGGCAACAGTCCCAAGAAACATCACTGGCCGAGCAAAACAAATACATATGCCCTTTGCTTCTCATTATAACGCCATAAGCTGAAATAAAAGTAGTGTTTGTGTTTGGTAAGGTGCGCACGTGCCCAGCAGTCAAAAAATATCGACTGGAGAAGGAGTCCAGTCGAACAAATGAATTAATTATAAGACATCGCGACGTTATATTGAAATTTACACTGGGTAATTGCAGGACAGGAGATCTTAGAAATTGTATTCAAAATCCCTATGTTCCGTCTTAAATTTTCCAAATGTGTATACTCGTATGAGCCCATAGAAACTGTAACTTTTCTTTGGGGCTTTTGATATTCTCATGAGAACTAACCTATAATTATTCCTATCTGGTCTTTGTCTGCTTTGTTGTGCTTTATACTTTCTATTCAACAGTTTTTTAATATTTAATACTGATGAGATATACTGTTTCATTTTCCCCTCCATCTTTTTTATATATTTTCCTAGTGTGTTGCTTCTGCAATTTTTCTGATTTGCTTAACCTTTTCTCTTCAGAAAATGTTTACCTATCGTCTGATTCCTTATTATTCGTATACTAAGCAGTTTATCTGTTACCTTACCATATCAGCCAAACAACTGTCCCATACTTTTCATTATAAAATTGTTATTAATAACAAAAGTATTACTTACTTATAAAAGTAAGTAATACAGCTCAAATTACTCGTAAAGCACACTTTTCACAGCTACAATCTAGTAAGCTAAACATCACAACGTGAGATGTGAGTACAGCAAGCATGTGTTATCAAAATCAGAGCCATACTGTATAGTTGCTAAAAATATATTAAGACGCCTGGGCCGAAGTCTAAAAATCAGAACGGAAAAGATTTTTAGAAACAGAATAAAGTAGATAGAAATTAAAAATAAATATGGATTAAACGACCCAGTAGCCGTTAAACATTGGAAACCCCAAAGTTTAGAAGTTCCTTGAATCGTTTCATTTATCTTCTCTCGCTATTTTGGAGCATTAATGTTGATAATGACTCTTAATTAGGTACCAGAGTGAAGTAACTATTATTAATCAAAATGTTCTTGTCATCGGTGAATTTCAACTCTATTGCATTTTTTATGCAAATCCTGAACTTAAATTGTTAATGCTCAGTGCCAGTCTTGGACGGATTTAAATAATGACAGCTGTCGTCTGTCTGGTAGATGACAGTTGACACCTGACTCTAAAGCGAGCCAAAGGAATAAGTCATCCGAGAACAGTAATTTAACATTGAATATGTTTCATTAAGGGAAGCT